AGCTATCACAGACGCTACGATATTTTCAAACCTGTTTGATATTATCGCCACATGATCTCGTAATGCGAGCGACACGACAAGGTGGAACTAATCCAGCCAATCACAGTGCAGATGGTATAAACACTCTTATCATGCATCTTTATGAACAGAAACGAAAAGCCACAAATTAATCAAATCAACCAACTAGAAATAAATTTAACAAATGCATAGATTGTGTATATAATACCACGTTTCATTGTACCGTTTAATTACCTCAAACTCTTTCTGCAGTACTGACAGTCCTTGTTGTCCACGTCTTCCAAGCCATTGTTTCTGCCATATTCTCTTTTTTCGTGGTTTCTTCTTTCTTTCTGATAAAATAACTGCACAGACCAATTGAAGGGCCAGTTGATCGTCCGTGCTTGAAGAAATGGCCTATAATCGCTGTAATTTCTCTCGAGAATTTATGTGAGATTTAATTTTCGCTGATGGTCGGGAATGCCTCTTGAATGTTTTGTAGTGTGTGCACCTCGTTAGCGTCGTGTTGTGCAGCATGTGCGCAGCTATGACACGACGACGACAGATGAGAGGAAATCTTGTTGCGTAGTGTGAGCAAAACAGTGATTCGGCTAGTCTTTCAATCATGTAGTGTGAGCTTGTCATTAAACTGCAGGAGAGTACCTTCTACTTTTACAAGAAAACTGGATGCCTCCAACAGAAGAGGGAGAGAATCAGATAACTTGGCAGGATCTAAAATTGGCATTCCGAGAAAGAACAGAACTTGGTTTTGAAGAGAGAACTGGATTCCAACTCTTAAGAATTTTTATTTTTTTTTTTTAAAGGATTTTATATTTAGAGAACTGGATATAGTCAATTAGAAGCTTATTTCTCAGAGGGAATAATCAGCTAGATTTAAAACTTGGTTCCACAGGTTTAACGCCGGAGGGAGGGAAGAACTGGGTTGTACAGCAGCACTTGCTTAATCGAGTCTAGAACTGGGTTTCTCAGAAGGAAGAGAGCTAAACTAATTAGAGAAGGATGAACTGGGTTCCAGAGGAACACTAATTTTCTCAGGTTTAATGCTGGACTTTTCAGATGGTATGGAAGAACCTGGTTCCATAAGAGCTCTAGGATGTTCAGCTTTAGAACTGTGTTCCATGTGAGCACTAGGTTTCTCAGGTTTTGAACTGGGTTTCACAGTGGGGTGGGAGGAACTGGGTTGTAAAGGTATACATGCGTGGGAGGAATTGTGTTCCACAGGAGCGCTAGGTTGTTCAGCTTTAGAATTGATTTTTTTCAGAGGGAAGAATACTAGACTTCTCAGATGGGGAGGAACTGGGTTCCATTTGAGTACTAGGTTTCTTGGGGTTAGGACTGGGTTTCTAAGGGAGGGATGAACTGGGTTCCAGAGGAGTACTAATTTTCTCAGGTGCAGTGCTGGACTTCTCAGACAGGTGGGAGGAACTGGGTTCCATAGGAGCACTAGGTTTCTCAGGGTTAGGACTGGGTTTCTCAAGGAGGGATGAACCAGGTTCCAGAAGAACACTTGTTTTCTCAGGTTTAGTGTTGGTCTTCTCAAATAGTATGATAGATGGGAGGATGTAACTGGGTTCCATAGGAGCACTAGGTTGTTCAAATTTAGAATTGGGTTTCTCAGATGGAAGAGAGTTAGACTTCTCAGATGAGGAGGAACTAGGTTCCATTGGGAGTACTGGGTTTCTCAGGGTTAGGATTGGGTTTCTCAGATGGTATGAAAGAACCGAGTTCCATAGGAGCACTAGGATGTTCAACTTTAGAATTGTTTTTTTTTCGGAGGGCAGAGAGCTAGACTTCTCATATGGGGAGGAACTGGGTTCCATGGGAGTACTGGGTTTCTCAGGGAGGGATGAACTGGATTCCAGAGGAACACTTGCTTTCTCAGGTTTAGTGCTGGACTTCTCAGATGCGTGGGAGGAACTGTGTTCCATAGGAGCACTATGATGCTCAACTTTAGAATTGGGTTTTTCTGAGGGCAGAGAGCTAGACTTTTCAGATTGTGAGGAACTGGGTTCCATGGGAGAACTGGGTTTTTCAGGGAGGGATGAACCAGATTCCAGAGGAACACTCGCTTTCTCGGGTTTAGTGCTGGGCTTCTCAGATGCGTGGGAGGAACCCTGTTCCATGGAAGCACTAGGTTTCTCAGGATTAGAACTGAGTTCCATGGGAGCAATAGGTTGTTCAGGTTTAGAATTGGGTATTTTCAGATGGAAGAGAGCTAAACTTCTCAGATGGGGAGAAACTAGGTTCTATGGTAGCACTCGGTTTCTCTGGTTTAGAAGTGTGTTCCATGGGAGCACTGGGATGTGCATATTTAGAACTGGGTTTATCAGAGAGGGATGAACTAGGTTCCAAAATAACACTTATTTTCTCAGGTTTAACGCTGGACTTCTCAGACGGGAGGGAGGAACTGGGTTCCATAGGAGCACTAGGTTGTTCAGGTTTCAAACCAAGTTCCAGAGGGACACTCATTTTCTCAGGGTTAGGACTGGGTTTCTCACGGAGGAACGAACTGGGTTCCATAGGAGCCTTTGGTTTTTCCAGGTTTAGAACTGGGCTTCTCAGAGGGGAAGGGAGGAACTTGGTTCTAGAGGAGCACTAGGTTTCACAGATTTAGAGCTGGACTTTTCAGATGGAAGCAAAAAAGTGGGTTTCATTAGAGCCTCAAGTTTCTCAGGTTTACAACGGTTCTTTGAGAAGAGAATATTTGATTTCACTTGGAGAGGAGAACTCTCTGGCTTAGAACAGTGTTCCATTGGAGCACTAGGTCTCTCAAGTTTAGTGCGTGACTTCTTATATGGAAATGAAAAATGTGGTTTATTAGAGCCCCAGGTTTCACAGGTTTAGAACTGATCTTTGAGAAGACAACACTTGATTTCACTGGGAGAGAAGAACTTGAATAGTAGATAACTAGAATAGTGTTCCATAGGAAAATTAAGTCTGTCAGGTTTATAACCAGACTTCTCAGAGAGGTGGCAAGAACTTAACTGCATGGGAGCTCTAGGTCTCTCAGGTTTAGAAATTGACTTAAAACATGATTTCCTGATTTCAGACTTGGACTTCTTTAAATTGAGGTAAGAATGGTGATCCACATGAACACTGTAACCAGGTTTCTTATTTCTAGAGTTGGTCTTTGACAACACAACACTTGTTTTTAATGGGAGGGAAAAAACCACTTACTTTCTCAGGTTTAGTGCTGGACTTCTCAGATGCGTGGGAGGAACTGTGTTCCATAGGAGCACTATGATGCTCAACTTTAGAATTGGGTTTTTCTGAGGGCAGAGAGCTAGACTTTTCAGATTGTGAGGAACTGGGTTCCATGGGAGAACTGGGTTTTTCAGGGAGGGATGAACCAGATTCCAGAGGAACACTCGCTTTCTCGGGTTTAGTGCTGGGCTTCTCAGATGCGTGGGAGGAACCCTGTTCCATGGAAGCACTAGGTTTCTCAGGATTAGAACTGAGTTCCATGGGAGCAATAGGTTGTTCAGGTTTAGAATTGGGTTTTTCAGATGGAAGAGAGCTAAACTTCTCAGATGGGGAGAAACTAGGTTCTATGGTAGCACTCAGTTTCTCTGGTTTAGAAGTGTGTTCCATGGGAGCACTGGGATGTGCATATTTAGAACTGGGTTTATCAGAGAGGGATGAACTAGGTTCCAAAATAACACTTATTTTCTCAGGTTTAACGCTGGACTTCTCAGACGGGAGGGAGGAACTGGGTTCCATAGGAGCACTAGGTTGTTCAGGTTTCAAACCAAGTTCCAGAGGAACACTCATTTTCTCAGGGTTAGGACTGGGTTTCTCACGGAGGAACGAACTGGGTTCCATAGGAGCCTTTGGTTTTTCCAGGTTTAGAACTGGGCTTCTCAGAGGGGAAGGGAGGAACTTGGTTCTAGAGGAGCACTAGGTTTCACAGATTTAGAGCTGGACTTTTCAGATGGAAGCAAAAAAGTGGGTTTCATTAGAGCCTCAAGTTTCTCAGGTTTACAACGGTTCTTTGAGAAGAGAATATTTGATTTCACTTGGAGAGGAGAACTCTCTGGCTTAGAACAGTGTTCCATTGGAGCACTAGGTCTCTCAAGTTTAGTGCGGGACTTCTTATATGGAAATGAAAAATGTGGTTTATTAGAGCCCCAGGTTTCACAGGTTTAGAACTGATCTTTGAGAAGACAACACTTGATTTCACTGGGAGAGAAGAACTTGAATAGTAGATAACTAGAATAGTGTTCCATAGGAAAATTAAGTCTGTCAGGTTTATAACCAGACTTCTCAGAGAGGTGGCAAGAACTTAACTGCATGGGAGCTCTAGGTCTCTCAGGTTTAGAAATTGACTTAAAACATGATTTCCTGATTTCAGACTTGGACTTCTTTAAATTGAGGTAAGAATGGTGATCCACATGAACACTGTAACCAGGTTTCTTATTTCTAGAGTTGGTCTTTGACAACACAACACTTGTTTTTAATGGGAGGGAAAAAACGGATCTGTCAAAGGAAAAGGAGCATTAAAAATGCCAGGGGCTTTTTAATGCTTCTGCAGATTAGTCTATAATACTGGAGAAATCTTTTTGTTTTCTACAAACACTTGGGTGCATTGGGAATGTAACATGCACAAACCATTTTCCAATACTCCTGTAATTTTTATTTTACTGTTAAATATTACAATAGTTTTAAACATAATTTTTATATTTATTAATAACAATAATAATAATAATAATTAATAATAAAATAATGTAGTATTATTATTATTAGTTTATATCCATACACTGAAGAAAAAAAAGGTGTAGAAAAAACTCAGAAATGGGTAGTAATTAGTAAATTACTATTTCACAAATTTAATTGTGAAAAATTTACAAGTAGAAAGAATGGAATAGTATATTCTTGTAAAACAAAGTCCAATAATATTTGGTTTATATACAACTTTGATATTAATATATAAATCACCAAATTTGAGCCAAATTGTGCAGTCCTACAAACATGCACAGCAAACCTGTTTTTTTTTTTTAGATTGTTTTTTTAATTGCGATGTAACTGGTCCTGTAACTATTTACTACATATGCTATATAAACAGACTTCTAAGAATCATTGGCCAGCCTAGAAAATAAAAAAACTGAGTATGAGTTAGAAGAACAAACCTCAGAAAGGAACACCTGGGTTCCTTAGGATATGATTTTTTTACGGAGTGTTGCAAAAATCTGTATTCCTTCAGAACAGCAGGTTTTTGAGAGGAAATAGAATAACTTTACTTTACATGAGCACAAGAACTAGGTTTCCGAGGAAGTGAGAATCGTCATGTTCAGCCTGTCCTGAAGAGAACATTTGAATAACTGTTAGTTAAAAAGGTGACAACATAGTACAGCGACAGTAATTTCTCTTCAGTTTTAATACGACATGGTAACTAAACACATCATCATTCAAGCATACATCTTTATGCTAATGAAGATGGATAATTTACAATCAAACCTTTGTTTTTGCAGTAGTTGCATAGCTTCACTCCAATCAGACACATGGGAGGCACATTCAATCAGAGAACAGAGTACTAGGAGAAAACTCAAGGTTAACATTTTTTTAAAAAGAGAAACACATTTTTAATATCTATATACTAACGTTAATTTACCTTCACTCCATGAATGATACAAATACAATGAAATAAGTCTAGAAGAACCCAATTTGCCCACAAGTTCAACCATTCAGTTTGCTAATCTAACCAGGCATTTTAAAGATAAGCAGTGACACCGATTTGTATCACCTGGGCTCCCCGTTAACAACTGTGGCACGGTTTCATCAATATCTTGTTTTAACTCATGCACTGATGGATTTCACCTCACTGTGTTAACCACTTGTGGCTTTTAGTTTTGTAATGGACTCAGACATAAAATGAGTCTAAATAACTAATATGGACAAGTGTTGTGTTACAAGTATATGTTTTTCAAAGGGTGTCCTCAGTCTGTTTTGAACAATTCCTTCAAGCAATTTAAGAGTGTTCTTGATTAATTTGTAATCTATGATG